AGCTCTAAAATCCGTTAGTCGCCTCTTACGACACCCATCGGAGGAAAAGGGGCGGAGAATAGTATTCTTTCTCCGTCTCCGCACGGATAAAAAAACTTACTAACTTACTTTTTATGTATATTATAGGTTCCATGTTTGAAAGCAAACATAACACCAAGTGATTTCTTTACTTAAAATATGGAACCTATAGGTAATATACATAGAAAGGGATATATTTCAGTAAAAAGCAAAAAATGGTATCTTGACTTACAACAACCTACGTGGGAGGTATGTACAAATGCTATTAGCTATTGAGTTTAACAGGAAATGCTCTTTAAATTTGCGTTTGAAAGATGCCACTGATAGTAAGGCCCTTTATAATACTAGAACACTAACTACGGCACGACGTGTTTTATCACCTACACAAAATTCTTCTAATATTAGAACTTGGGCTATATTATAAGTTAAAAATTGAGTGACCAAAATGCAGCAAGCGTCCACATTTTATATGGCTATGCTAATACAAAAGAGGGTAAGGTACGGTACGTTGAGCAAGGCAGCTGTCGGCCCTTGGGTTCCTCAGTCGGTCCATTAATTTTAGATTACATTCTATAGAAAGAAAGGGCAATGGGACCTCAAAGGAAGTCAGTCAGTCCTGAAAACATTTGGCTTTTTAATTGCTCAGCCAACTCAGCTGCGTTGCTTGCTGACGATATGGCGGTGGAACGGACTCAACCACCATCTACGTACTTACTACACAATCCAATTGAAATTTTTACAGGAGGGAAAACAAATAAGAGTTATCAACGTAATATGGAACATAGCGTTAATATACATTATTTGATTTTAAATTCAAACTAAAACTCGACGTTTTGGATGTGTTGCTACGTCCATGGCCTAGAAGAAACTGAAGAGGCGGGTGTCAACATCTTCTAGCCGTGCGAGTTTTTCTACCTACCTTACTTGGTCTTTTTTTATAATATCAAGTAATGGGACGAACAAGTCATGCGCCTGATGATAAGCGCACACACGATACACGCCTGTCCATAACAGTTGCAGTGCCACTCAGAGTTTTAAGTCGCAAAGATCAGATGGGCACTGCCACTGCGTCTGTCACCCTGAGACATAAGTTAACAAGTCCCTTGTGCCTGTAATTTCACCAGCACCCTCTTACCCTTCAAAACCGGAACATAGCAATACTGACATTACTGCTTGGCGGCAGAAATAAGTAAGGTGGCAGTACTTCCCTGGACGAACTCTTTCACAACGAACTCTATTACTGCTGGTCTTCATTATTAAAATTTATTTGTGCACTAGGGTTTGTCACTAGACCGACAAACAATACTCACGATATTAGCGATTTGTTTGTTTTTATAATTTCAACACATTCGCGTACAATTCTACTGTAGTAATGACTTCCTGTAGAAAGGGTCTTGGCTCGATCCAGTGGTATGGTCCTAATTCCAGCAAATACACACGATTAACTCCCGATTTCAATATTTATATTTCAATTTGGGATTGAAATATCGACTGTCAACTGGCAATCTACTATCTCAATTTTGACAATTTTACACGATGAAGAAAAAAATTGTTTGCGTCGATATAGCATCTGGTTTATTAAATAAAAATACGTACTGTGTGTGTAATGAAAATATTTAAAAACTACGTATTTTTATTAAATGAACCAGATGCTATATAAATGACCAAACCCTGATTCCAGCAAATGCTCTACTATTGCAGACTTTTTGAGATTACGGTTCTTATACACGATTAAGTCCCAAATTTTAAAAGTTATTAAATATTTAAATAGTTAATATATGTATTCCACCGTAGACAAAGTGTGAAGTTCCCTACCCGCATTGGGCCAACATGGCAGGCTATGACCTTAAAATTCCCTTTCACAGGAGACGACGAGACGAGAGGGACAAATAATGTGGGTTGTACTGGGCAGATAATAATAAAAACCGATAATTTAAAACAGATTTACTAAAAAGCCATTTCTTAATAAGAGATTCCTTTTTAATAAATTTAATTTAATAAGAAAAATAATATAATTAAAATAAAATAGTTTTCTAAAAGTTGTGCACAGAATTTGGAATATTTTAAATTAAAAATAAGTAAGTTCAAATTAATAACTTATGACTATATTGAAAAGTAGGATGGTTTGCATTAATATTAGACATAACTGGTTGATAATTTTTCTCAGTCAACCGCGACCATGGTACTTGTAAAAGAATCGAAACGTCGGTTTGTTTGAATAAACATAATTATATACGCGATTTATCTGACCTGAATCTGAATCTGACAAAACTTGACTCAGTACCTTAACGGTTTGCACTGATTGAGTAGATCCCAGTTCGATTCCCGGTGGAACTTTGGAAAATGAACGTTTCTAAATTTATTCTTATTTGTGTTCCAGATGGAGCCCTGAAAAGAATTCCATTGCTCTGGTACTCATAGTACCGGGAATTCCCTAGTTCGAGACCTGGTAATTGATGTGGTTGTCAGGCACAATCTCGGTCGATTAAAATATCTAATATGAAAAACTATACCTTGATAGTCAGACCGAATTACCGAAGTGGCTTAAACATAACGAATGTTTTAAATACAGTTATAATCTCTTCAACGGGAAACGTAATGAAGCACCAAATGTCATTAATGAAGTCTGTTAAAATAATCGAAATTATTTCAATGGTTCCCTTCATGGAATAAAATTATTACATCCCTTTAGAGGGTTTAATTTTGGAGAAGACTAACTTTGGAAATAAAATAAAATAGATATTAATTTCTAAGAAGATTATACAAAAGATTGGGGAGTGGTTGCAAAAGTTTTAATTGAGAATTTATAGCTTTATAAATAAAATGGAGATATAAGTGAAAGAAAATATTTTTGGATAATCGTTATGAAGACGCCTTCACATAAAAAGACATAACATGATAACGATAATTATCTGTATGCAATAACGTAGTAAGGAGAGGAACAAACGTGAAACTTATCCTGAATAAAGCACTCATCTTCGTATGTATAAAAAAAAATATGACAAGAAAATGGGTCTTTATTCACGATAAAGTTTTGCGTGCTCTGCTCGTATCCTTGGTTGAAAATTATAATATTCTGCGGCCGGCGTTGTCAACGTCCCTCCCCGCTTCGTCTCCTGGCCCCTTGTCTGATGCGTACGTGTTAAGTATAAAAAGGAAGTACTTGGACGAATTCTTTGACAAGGAGCCGCCAAGTAGTAATGTTAGCATTACTGCGTTCTGGTTTCGAAGGAGTCTTGTCAACTTATGTCTCAGTACAATATTATAAAATAATCTCAGTACAGAGTACTAAAAAAACCGACCTCAAAAGTACGTCGAATTACGTCTATTTGCTAAGTTTCATTGAAATATCCCCTAGTTCGCCACCATACAGGACTTGATACTGGAGATTATAAAAATAGGTTCTCACTACGACACTACTCAAAGTATATCGAGAGAAAAACGCCCTGAATTGGAGAAATAGCAAAATCAACTAAATAATTACTAAAAGTAATTGCTCCTAAATTAAAGTTAGGCGCTATTTATAAAAATGAATCTTTATGCGTGAACAGCCACCCTTTGAGCTGGATGTTTTTTTTCAAAATGAAATGGGACCACTATGGAAATACCCCCTTTCCAACAAAGAAAGAATCATGAAAATCGGTTCACAAATACCGGAGTTATCGCGTAACATACATACAAAAAAAAAAGAAAAAAAAAGAACATACAGTCGAATTGAGAACCTCCTCCTTTTATGAAGTCGGTTAAAAATGAAACCCTCGTTTATTAGCTTCGTCAGCCCTGCAAAATCGCCACGACTGCATTCAAATAAATAGGACAACCGCCATCGGAACACATAGAGCTCATAACACTTTAGTTTTATATATATAACTATAACTCTATATGTAACGTACTTTAAGCAGGGTTCTGTCATTCGCTCAGGGTTACGCGATTAAGTACCTACCGCTGAGTGTACCGACATCGGTACAAGCGCTCATATAAGTCTTTCATATATGAGCATTCGGCTCCGCGCGACTGCCCAAGATAGGCAACGTTATTTTCACCTCTCTGAGCGCGTTCTTAGGTTCCGTTTTCCTCGTAGTGAGCGCCTGGTGTCATTAGTCAGATTTAGTAGGCTATTATAACGTAGGTATTTCCGATTTTATATGAGAGTGATGTATCTATTACATAGTAACAATTAAGTAACCTGTGCTTTAGGTTAGTTTAAGATGATTTGTGTTTTAGTACTTGTGAACTTGTATTAGGCTGGCATTAGAATAAACATTTCAACATCTTATTTAGCAATAAGCAAAATCAAAATCAATTTTTTAAGTGACAATAAAACTTTAGGTGACTATAAAACTTTAGGTGCTAATATCTCAAAAGTCACTGAAAAGCAAATGCGTTAGTTATGACAAGCAGGGCAGTAATAATAACCAGTGCCTCTATCATGAGATTACAGTGATAATTATCGCTAGCGACCGCGTAAAATGTTTGTATACAAAATGTTTCTTCTTGTTACTGCTAGACACACTTTAATTTGCCATACAATATTGTAATGGCACTACACATGGCTATTTATATTTGCATATTTGATATATTTGGCAAAATCATGAGTAGATACTACGCGTGACAGTGTGTTTGCCAAATACCAAACTCGAGTTTCACCATGCGCTGGTCGGTTTCTCGACGCACATCAAAGGAGCCAAATAGGCAAATACGCAAATAAACCCTCCACACTATTGTCATATTGTTATTTTTACTCCTTATTTGACTCCATATGTAGACGGTCATGTTTGTTAGTGTTTGCACGTTTGTTTGTAGTTGAAATATTTTTCTAAGTACATCAAACACCCAATAGCGAGTACAAGGTCATGTGAAGTGACGCCATGAAATAACTTACGCGGTTGCTAGCGTCAACTGTCACAATAAACTCGTGGTAGGGGCACTGGTGACAAACATGTTCTAGATGCAGTTAAAACTTTATTTAAAAAAATACTTACAAGAAACTTCTAGAGTCTTAGTGTCAGCACTTTTCCCCACAGCGTTGTTAACTTCGCACTTGGCCGTTGCCTCGTTATGATGTCGCGTTATATTTCTTATCACCTGCAATAAAATATTCATTTGCAGTTTCCCCATTGGCTTTCATGGAACACACATACACCTTTAAAAATGCTTCCACAGGTTTACTGCTTTTAACTAATCTGAAACCGGACGTGGACAGTTTTTATACTACCGGCATAAAACAAACATACACGCATCAGTTTTAGCACCACTGTTTTTTTTAACAAAAATATAAATGCGCATTTGACCTCCATCTCACTTGATGGAAAGTGATGATGAAGTAAGATGATGGAGTATGCACCCCTAAATAATGCGTATTCGATATCGCCTTGAAAAGGCCCAATTTATAGCATTCCTCAAGAAGCCTTTGCTTCCTCCTTCCAAATGCGAACGGTATGCTATTTTGTTTCCCGATAAGTACAACTTAGGGCTATTCAAGGCTAGAGTTAATAGGTATTTTTTAGACAAACGCGTAATGTCAAAGCTCACGTTATCGCTTAAAATCAAGTGAGAGTTTTTGTAATGATTAGTGCACATTTGAGCCCCATCTCACTTGATGGACAGTGAAGTCAACGATGTAGCATGCACACCTAAATAATGACTATTCTCTCTTGGCTCAAAAAGGCTCAAATTATGCTGTTTAGGGAGTAAGTTTACAAGTAGAGAATTCCAATTCATAGCTTCATATAAATGTAGAATCAAAACGCTTCGTATTGGAATATCCACAACATAAGGGTGAAACCTCAGCCTACTTCTAGACCCCGATGATAGAAAGGAGAAGGCGGAAATAAATCGTGCAATTTTTATGTAAAATAAGTAAATAAATAAATATTAGACAACATTCCAAAGTAAGTAGCTAAAGCACTTGTGTTATGGATATCGGAAACAACGACGGTACCACAAACACCCAGATCCGAGACAATGCAGAAAAGATAGTTTTCTATACTGACCCGGCGGAGGATCTAACCGCCGACCTTAAAGATGGCGACACCATGAAAATCGATGTGCAAGCCACTCGATCATGGAGGATAGTTGTAAAGTTAAAAAGAAAACATATACATTTCCAACATTTCTTTATATTATTAATCAATAACAAAATAAAATAAACAGGTTTCGGAGTTTGATTACAGAAAATTTGTCTGTTATTAGGGTCAGAGAACATAATTTGCAGACTCCATTTACCCAAACTTCAGGTAATATATATAAGGATAATATAAAATACCACCCTCTGAATTCTGGAATGATACAAACATTGTCTTTCTAAATACAATACTGTATCAGTTACACATCAAAAATACAATAAATCTTTGGAAGGAAAGATACCCCACGGCATCACTCATCCCGCTGTCGGAACACCTCTCTGCGAATGATCTACCTTGGCAAACTTGGAAGTCCCTAAATAGGCTGCGGACCCAAGTCAGCCGAAGCGAGGAGTGCATGAACGGGGAACGACACACCAAGAAGAAGAAGATCAGTAATATGGGATAAAAACAGTAGAAATGTATGTGTTACCTCTTTGGAGTTAAAATAAATATACGTCCAAATTGGTAATGCTCCAAATAATTAACTTTCCTATACCCGCGCACGGTCAGTGAGACCGAAAGCTCGAGGGCTATCTAAGTATGTCGCTTAATAAAATATCATTAAGTGTAATATTAAAAGGAAATGTATAAAATTGTATCAAACAAAGTTTTATATAAAATATTTTTTTTATTAGAGATAATCAGTCCTTTATTACAGCTATTGGTAAGTTACAATATTCCTAAGAGCCACAAAAACTTGAACAAAATCGTACTTTTTATAGTAATAAAATAACAAAAACTCTGAAATATCAAAGAATAATATATAATATTAAAAAACCATAAATTAAATAGCATGTTGCAAAAAAATTTAGGTATACATCTTGCTCAAAAATACCTCTTCGTGTCATCGATGGAGCATTTTTAGTCCACTTAATTTAACTATTTTTGACTAGGTAATAGATTAGAAACTTCTCCCCGTTTTCAGAACTATTTCCTGCTCTATGCCATTGCTTACTTGCTTCACTTCTATGATCCTCAAACTCATTGTTATTTTCACCCTCATAGTTAAAATCAGAGTCATCCTCTTCCAAAAACCTTCTCATGCGTTCCTCTTACATATTGAAGTTATAAAATATAACCTAAAATATAATACATAACGTAAACTCAATTGATAAATTAAAAATAATGCCTAAATATAACAATTACTAAGGCTATTTATTACCTAAAACTGTGACATCTATACCCGCGTCGGTCTCAGGGACCGATCGGTGTCGTGTACGGGTATACGTGTTGTATGCACGAATACTCCTGTTACGCTGAAATGAATTTACCTATGAACCATGCAGCTAGCAGTGAGCCCAAAGCTTTGTTTTCTGTTTCAAAACAAAACACGGGAAACTATCGTCGATCTGAGAGACCAATGCGCGGGTATACGAAGGTTAATGGAACAACCAAGTTTTTAGGCATTCGCTATTGCAACACACTGGAAATGAAAGTATTATTTTGGATCCAAATCGCGAATATTTGTTTCTTTTTTTCAAACAAATCAACACTTCAGGCTTTTTGCACGTTCCATAGTCACGACTGACTGAGACTGTAAAGCATTAACTAGTTATGTTTAATATTATTGCCAATCACGGACGATGTTGACGGAAGAACGGTTGGTGTATTTATTCCCCGCTACCCCCAGTGTTGCTATTGTTGAAACCCGAAAATACCCATAATAAAGGTGATGATGCAAAATTCAATTGTTCATTTATTATACAACCTCTGTTGTTGTACCTAATTATTTCCATCTGTTCTAAAACGTTTTGAACGAGCTCACTCTTCGGCCTAGCGTCAAGCAGTCAACAGCCCCTGAGGATGCCTCATAGAGAGGCGACACAGATGTCGGGCATATTTTTGTTGGTGATTTGTGACTGAAGTTGCACTTGTGTTATTTATTTTATTAATTTTATGCGGAGGGATGGTGGGATAATTAACTGCATGAATAAATATTCAACATAAGCGCAGCTATTATGCACAATTTAACCTTCACTGGGTTCGCGGAGTAGCAAATTAAATTACTTCCATTTTTATTAACATGGACTTCCGCAAAATAACGCCTGTATCTATTAATTACTAAAAGTTATTAATTTTAATATCTTATCTTGTAAGGGAATCAATCGTAGAGCTAATGAAGGTCCGACTTGTAGGAAATCTGGATATTTATTTGCAATATTTGTAGCAACTTTTACAATACAATTAACAGATGATTTGATGTTCTATGGCTACGCACCTACGAAACTGTCCCACCAGGGGAGCAGGTAACGTAGAGGGTTACGACTGCTCAGCTGCGAAGGGTGCTACGAAACCAGTCCCACAAGTGGAAGCAGGAGGCGTAGCAACAGCAGACCAGGCTATCACGTCCCAAGACAGTCCCACGAGTGGAAGCTAACTCGGAAGCGAAATAGGTCCGGCAGCTGAGGAATATCCACACTTCTACAAAATTCCACGTTCTATGTCATTTTTTGCTGTGTGTACTTTGATAGCGCGTTTTAACTCGATCCCAACGCCATCTAGCGGTGCGAGTCTGAACTAAATAGATGGCCGTTTGCACTTATTGTAATGGTTTAGTTCTACGTTGTGTTTTAATTTTTAACTTACCGAAGAAAATTCTAATTTACGCTACATGCCATTTGCAAAATATCATTTTTACAATGAGATTTTTTTTTAATTGCACTTACTAAATGTTTATTATAAATTGATATTCAATTATTTTTTATGCGAAATTACTCCACTAGTTTGTTACAATTTTATTAATACAAAGATCCAACACTCAGAAAAATATGCTTCGATCCGGCCGGTATTAATCCGGTAGCTGTAAAGATATCTAACTGAGTGACAAAATACTTTCGTAGATTTCTCATAGATGGCGCTACGGCTAAAAAGTCGTTGAAAAACCAAATACAAAGACAAACAAACAACAAACGCGACAACAAGCACTTAGAAAAATTCGTGAGGTCAGCTGGTTCGTTCCGTGGCTTACTTGATAATTGGTATAGCATCTGGCAAGGTATGCTAGAAAACGTCGGTTCAAATCCGGCCGGATCGAAGAAATTTGAATTAGGAGTGTTCGAACTTATTAATTAAAATTTAATTAGATATAAAATTTAGATCAGAAAAACTTACATATCCAATTAATAGAATTATAACGTATCTCTTTCAAAGTCCACAGATTTTTCCATTGCTACTAGGAAGCAGGATACGGAGGGTATAGATAGATAGATTTCTTGCGCACACACACAAGAACAAAAACAGTACATAAACAGCTTATAACTAAAGTGGGCAAAGGCGGCCCTATCGTTAAGAGCGATCTGTTCCAGACAACCTTTGAGATATAGAAATCAGAGCGGGATACGTAGTGTGCCTGTGTGTTAATTGTATAGATAAACAAAAATTTATATTTTATCAAAAAACAAATAACTACACAGTATACCTAAATATTTATTAGTACGTGTATATATACATGTATGTATATATACCTAACTTATACTGACTAATAAATATACACGTTGCAGACTAGGACAGTGTCAAAAACATGAAAAACATTGGATTGCGTATCCAGTTTTGAAAATAGGAAGCGACTTAGAATGTCGGGTTTCAGACCGAAGTTATATATATAGTTGTGCAGCCTTAACCGTAAAGGAGTTTTTGAATACTCCAATCGAGTGAAAGGCGGTTTCAGTAAGTTATCCATTTTAGACCTAAGTTCACGGTTGTGATCCTTTCCGAGGAAGCGAAAACGTTCCTTAAGGTATATTTATTATTATTTCTACCCTATCCTTTAGAATACTTCAGATAGAAACATAGTAAGTTTATGTACCTAATATTATTATCTTCTTGTGCTAAACTCATTACGATTTCATTCAACAAAGGATCTGCTTACAAAGGGATTTTCGCTTTTCTCATAACCATGTTTCTATATCTTTTGTCATCCAAAACTATTTCTAATATTCAGCGGAGAATAGCTTTCTTTATACTTAACTTGAAACTATAACTTCGAACCAAACCTCGGTCTTACTTAACCAAACTTTAATAAACCTGCCTTCATAAACTACATAAGGTACACCTCATTTAATATTTTCGAGCACTTCGCTGCTATAACGTGGCTAATGCAAAATGCATATTGCAGGTGGTTGGTGTGCCAAGAAGAAATTTGAAAATTTTCTACCGTGGACAGGGTTGATAGCAAACAGTGAAACACGTTCACACTATCTAAGATGACAAGTCCTTTTGATTGAGAACAGATATAATAGCTCATTGAGATTTTTATCCTTCTTGTTCACGAATCGAGTGGAATGTATCTGGACATTGTTTTTGCAAGATTAAAAAAAATATTTGGCTAAGTAGGTACGTACTTAGTGAACCTCAATAAAATACAGTCGTTTGTCTTTCGGACGACAAAAGATAAAGGATCAAGACTGCTATTGTCCGATTCTCGACAGCTGAATGTCCAATCTGACGGATGACGTCCGCCATTTTGAATGAGCCAACCCTAACCATGGAGAATATTTTTGGAGACGACGACATGCAAATTTCGACTTGTAAAATTAATATGACTCGAGATATTTCAAGACGGTTTTTGTAAATGGAAATGAGGCAGTGTAACGCTTGTTACTAAAAGAAGTAAGTTACTTTGCATTTTTGTTCTTAGCGAATGGGAATACTAGCAGCCATCGCATGTAATGGAGGAATACAAGTATAAAAGTGCCACAGTAAAAGCTCTTGTTATAACTGCCTTTATTAAACCGCTTTGTTCTCCATTTGCCGGTCAGCACGTTGATTGTTTTGAGAATGTTTTATTCTTATAAACTGGCGCCCAACGTGGGGCCTGATGTTATGAGAAAAATATAATCATTAGATTGCTTTAAAGCTGTAAATAGTTATTAGGTCAAATAAGTACATGTGGGATACTTTACTAGTAAACACGATAGCACATTTTATCAATAAGTATTTCTATTTAATAATATTCTATATAATGTGCCATACTTATGTGCAAACTTACTAGTGTATAATATGTTATGCACCAAGTTTACTGAAAGTTATGATGTTTATTACCATGATGATTTTTTCTACCATAATATTCAGTTAATGAAATTACTCCACTAGTTTGTAATAATTATTTTCACAAAGAAAAATTCCTTCGGAAGCCGGAAGGCTGGACTCGCCATGACTCACGGAATAGCAAGGTCCCTGGTTCGATCTTTGTATTAATAAGTATATTATTATACACTGTTATAAACACACTTACCAGTTCATGGGAAACACTGCTGACAATCTGAACATTATTTATATACCACTTGTAGGTCAGAATGTTTGGATTCGCTGTTGCTTGACAACCTGTGGAATTTTTTTTTTATTAGTATTGTCTCGATTCACCGGGCGGTAAATGGTAACAGCCGTCTGTGGACATTTGCGACGCTAAGGAGTCTTTAATATTACTAACGAATTAACGTCCGTGGAATATAAGACATCTGTACCTGTAATTGCGTTGATTTACTTTTAATTTAGTTCCACGTGTTTTAAATTAAGAAATAGGACTTTCATAAAACCAACAGTTTCTGTGAAACCGTCGAAGTTTAATCTTCTTTCTGCTATGTTACCACAATTATTAAAACTCGTTCGTCCCGTCATTTTAAAGCAATTTATTACGAAGGAAACAAAATGTAACGGAAGAGCTGTACAGTGTACTAAAAAACCGACCTCAAAAGTTCGTGGAATTACATCTATTTGCCAAGTTTTTTTGAAATTGGTTACCGGAAAATGCGCCAAACCGGATTCATCCCCTAATTTGCCACCCTTGGAGGTGGAATATTTTCTTCAAATTTAAATGGGACCAATATTGAGGTAACCTTCTTCCAACAAAAAAGAATCATCAAAATTAGTTCAAAGTTATCGCGTAACATACATACAAAAAAAATACAGTCGAATTGAGCACATCCTTTTTTGAAGTCGGTTAAAAAGCTAAGAAATAAAAATATTTTAATAGTTATTAACCACATAAATATGTATACAACGTGAAAAATAAAGTTTATAATTTTCATCCGGATTTTGTTAATTACATTAATCTTTAATATTCGAGTCTAGACGTTGCCTTACTGATTAATCACTTACTTCATTAACTACTGTTACTATTTAACTGTACTATCAAAAGTTCAATACGAAAACAGGTATGCTATTTACTCACCCAGAACAAGAGTATCTCCTTCCTGTGCTCTTCCATTTTTGGCTCCAGATTTGAAATACATGCGAATTTTTGGGGCGAACTGTACCTAAAATAAAAAAAAGATTTTAAATTCCGTTAAAGAAATATTACTGTATAGCATAGAGCACAGTAATAACTCAGTGGGATAATAGTTGTCGATGGGTCTAACCCCTCATGTAACTTTAATTTCTAGTCTCAAATTAGGAAATTTACTAACTATATAAGTACCAGAGCTACAGAATCACTTCGAGACATTGCCCAGAACACCTGGACAAAGACTAATTTAGAAAATTTGTAGATAACAGATATGCGGTCCCAAACATAAGAGCAAGCGATGTGAGCTTCGCGTCCGCGAGTGATTTGGACTGGTTTGCAAGATGGTTTGATGCACCGGCGCAGGTGAGTGACGCAACCCATTGTTCTTGCATCACAGTGCACGACTCCAGTGTTTTCGTCCGATGCGTCGTGAAGGAAACTGCCTTTGAGGCCGAATGGTTACCATCCTGGTTTGCCACGCAGAGGTCCTAGGTTCGATTCCCAGGCCGGGAGAAATATCTCCATGGCCTACAATTATTTCTCTCGTGAGTTTCGATGTAATTTGTGGTGGTCTATGTGTGAGTCCATACCACCCGCGATACAGGGTTTCCCTAGTGCGAGGATATGCGTTTGTGCGTTAAAAAAAGTGCATCCGTGTTTTTATACATTAATTTAGTGTAGTTGTTTTCTGTAGTCAATGTTTATTTATTGTAGTATGTATTATATATTACGTATTTGTCTATATATTCATAATTTTAGAATATATATAGTGTTTATATTAGTATATGTACATTTTGTAATGGGATCGCCACAAGTTCATTTCCAAAATTGGGTTGAACCCGAGAACTCCTCATTCAGCGTCTACAGAAAGTAACACTTGTATGGTGCACCTAACGATCTGCTTCGCAACATTCGAACTCGTTCCCAATTCACTCCTAACACACTCCATTATCACACGATAAACGTGTATTGTCAAATGGCACGTCTCATACGTTAACATCAGATATCCGAACTTCTTCAGTGTTCGCGATTAGAGAAGCTATTTTTTCAGATCTAAATCACGTATATGTTTGGTTTTTCAAACAAACAAACGAATTCGAATTCGAAATTGTTTCATTTCCTATATCTGAACTTGTTCAAAGGAATGTGTCCCGATCGAATCCTTAACGCCAAGACTAAGAGTGGTTACACTGGTTACAAATTATTGCATCGCTACATTTTAGATTTATAGGCGATAGTACCCGCTTAACAACTTTAACATCTTTTTCATGCATAGATATCTTACTGAATACAAAAAATTCAAAACAAATCACTTAATAAAATATTATATAAGTAAACAAAGCAAACCAACACTTGCAAAATGAATACATTAAAACTCCTGAAGAAGGAAGAACTCTGGCAAAAGTGTAATAGCGTCTTAATATTCATAATGCTCCCGTTTTAGAAAAGTGAAAAGCGAAGTAATCGTATTAAAGCTTGGACAATTAGGCTTTTGATCGACATTTCTTTTCTCATATATTTTTTCGGGTAGATTAATTTTAATATCACTTTGTTAATGTTCTCTTATATTCAAGATAAAAGGTCAAAGGAGGGTGGCTTTGAGCAAAATATGAGATATATTTTTATATTGAATTTGAATTGAAACTTGTTTTAAAAATGTTTATTAATATTGGTAACTTAAGGAAAATAATACTTCAAATGACTTCAATAGTCGTACTCGTGCTTTCATTATTACTAACTAGTAACAGGATGGGTAAGTAAATAAATAAAAATTTAGTGAAAACTGTCATAGATTTCTCAAAGATGGCGCTAAGCTGCGGCAAAAAAAGTCGTTAAAAACCAAAAAAAAAAAAACAAAAATCTGCAAGGTGCACATAGAAAAATTCTATAGCTCTAGTGAAAAAGAGATATAAGTAAAAAAAGCCAACTTTGCAAGCAAACGCGAAAAGCACTTAATGCTTAATATCATATTAAGCTTTAACGGTTTTCGTGTCTCCTTTTAAAGTTGGGTTTTTTTACTTACTAGAGCCACAGAATTCGTAAAATCTACCAGTTCCGTAGCTCAATTGGGAGAGCGTTGGCACAGTATACTGAAGACGCTGGTTCGAATCTAGCCGAATCGAAGATCAATTATAAGATAAACGTAAGGAAATACTGTACATTGCAATATATGTAAACCTCATCAGCCAAACTAGGGTTTAACATGTAAGGTTTTCAATTGAGTTGGTGATCAGTTCATATAAGTAGCTAAAGAGTGTGGAATATTTGTAGGATATAAATACATTTAAAACATAGAAAAATTAACACAAAATTCATATAATATATTTTATGACTATCCTATTTAAGTATAAAAAAGGTACCGACTAATTTCAATTTATTATTAAAACTAACGCGGTTATCACACATTATATTTAGTATAAACGTAACCGGACTTACTCGCGTAGTATTTTAGTCGGAAGCGGTCCGACTAGTTTCAACCATAGTCTAGCACTGCGCGCTACATTACTTATTAATAAGTGTCAATGTTTTGCTTCACGCTTTTACGCGATTTATGTCCGAAAAAACAGTTTCATTTCCTACAAACAAAGTGTTATTTCAGGTCTTTCAGATTACTTGTTTTCTTGTAACATGTCACGAACCTATCAAGCAGAATTATTACAGAAACCATTTTAATTAATGAATTTTATCAAGTTGATATTGATTTCACGAAGCATATTGATAGTTAACATGATTGAAGTTCCATATTTCCAATGCAACATGAGTAAAGGTGCCGATTGAGTGAGAAAGTTCATAAATCTCTCACATGATGTCGCTAGCAGCGTTGAAAGCCGGAAAACCTAAAACAAAGATCTATAACAGACCCTGTTTCGACCTGCTCAGTCGACCTGTAGCTCAGTTGGCAGAGCATCACTACGGTGCAGCGTAGACACAGATTCAAGTTCTGTCGGGTCGAACAATTTTTTCTTTGTACAAATTAATGGAGTTATTCACGATTTTTAGTAGCAGTAGAACTACTTGTGAAAGAGTTCGTCCAGGGAAGTATTGCCACCTTACCTATGTCTGCCGCCAAGCAGCAATGTGAGCATTGCTGAGTTCCAATACAGGCACATGGGATTTGTCAATTTATGTCACAGGGTGCCGATCGCGGTGGATCGTGGTGGTGGTATCTTTGCGATTTAAAGCTCTAAATGGTACTGCAACTGTTATAAACAGGCATGTAGTTTACCATCAGCCGCACGACTCGTTCGTACCGTTACTTAATATTATATAAAAAAAAGAGAAATTACACTAATTATATTTAAAAATGAATCCGTTTAAAAAAACTGCAGACATGATATTTTTTAACAATACTACTTTTGTCTTTTCAATACGCAACCCCGTGAGCAGAATTTCAAAAATCTAACTCCAATTACGAATGACAATTGATATTAATCAGTGCTAAATTATGTGCAAGATTCAGAGTTGCGTGTTTTAATATTAGTTCTTTATTGTGAGTCTGGCACTCAATGCGTGGCTCAACCAGTTCAATAAAACTAAAGCAACCTGTGGCTCAATGGATTAAATACCTTGGGTAATATAATAATAATAAATAATATTATAAGCTCTTATAATAGGTTTAATTAAAGCGGTTCTAGAAACTTTCCAATTTCAGAAGGAGACGCCTAAAACGTATCTTTATGTTTACTAAACTTGACATAAACTTTATTTCACCCTGTATAGTCAATCTTACACTTCGACACTCATAATATCCTTAATAAAATAGAAATGAAATATATTTATACAAGCAGTACAGCGATAATTCTCATATAAACCGTCATTGTACCATTTCCGGCGATATATTCACACAGTACATGGATTAGAGACAGCTGCAACTATATTTCTTGACCCGACAAAGACGCAAACAGAAATACGTCGTCGAGTACAAAGGCGTATGTAACAAAAGAGCAACAAAATAGAGTTAAGTTGAACTACTGGAACTCACATGAAACTCGAACAGGGAGAACATTCTTTTAAGACTTTCTCTTCTTATTTTTTTGAGCCGTTTACCACTTACGAAAAATCTCTAGTATTTTAAAAATAAATATTTATAAAACTGGATTTATTACCACTAGTTCTTTACCCTTTTGAACTCTGAACTTTAAACTTACTAAGTAAGAGGCTGCGGAGGCTGCGGAAGCTGCGGAGGCTACTACACTACACTCGCCTTACAACATTACAATCCACCAGCGTCAGCAGCGCTCTCACAGACTTATTCAACATTTATGATGATTTTAGTACCGATAGAGCTCCTTGTGAAAGAGTTCGTCCAGGGAACTACTGCCGCCTTACCTATTTCTGCCGTCTAGCAGCAATATCAGCATTAGGTCTTGTGTTCCGGTTTGGAAGGGTAAGAGTGCTGGTGAAATTACAGGCACATGGAAATTGTCATCGTATGTCTCAGGGTGACGGGCAGTGCAACTGTTATGGACAGGCGTGTAGCTTACCATCAGGTGCTCGACTTTTTCGTTCTGTCACTTGATATTATTAAAAAAAATATTATTTCACATTTGTGTAACTTAAAAAACCAGTGGCGATGTGCCTATGACAAATTTATAAGTTACGTACTTAAATTTGTAAATGTTTAGTTGCCTATCGCAAAACATTTAGTAGCAGTGGAGAAAAATCAAAGAGTTGATCCAGAGAAGTGCCACCTTAGCTATTTTTGCCGCCAAGCAGTAATGTGAAGATTACTGCGTTTCGGTTTTGAAGGCTAAGGTTGCTGGTGAAATTACAGGCATATGGAACGACTTGTCAAATTCAGTGGGACGACCCCCTACTAGATGGACGGTTGGCTTGGTAAGAGTGGCGAGTAACCGATGAATGCACGTTGCATCCGACCAGCTAGTCTAGATCTTTGGGGGAGGCCTATGATCATATGATATTGACGACGTACTTTTTGTATAAATGTGCTATTTTTTTTTTTCATAAATGTCTCTTTAGCTTTGTTAAACACTTTACATTGTTTGCTAAATGAGGAAATTCGTTAATGGC